ACACACACACACACACACACACACACACACACACACACACACACACAAGGTGTCGAGCCGTTTGGAGCGGCCGGGTGATTTCCAACAAGAAACATTTTGGTTTCCCTGTGAATGATCTGGTTAGCAATCTAACTGTGGCAGCGTTTTGTTTTTTTTGTTCCAGTTGATGGGTGGCAAACATCCAACTGAGGAGCTGCTGAGAGGTGACTGAAGACTTTTCCACACCCCACTTCCTCCAACAGTGAATGTCTTTTAAAGTGTTCAGCGGTCCAAGTGAAATCCTCGTGTATTTAAATATAGTAAAAGAATGAATGTGACGTCTCCTCGTAATGCTCGAGTGTGGTGTCCCAGCGTATGCAAGACTTCTTGACAGATTATTCCCTATAATTTTTGCTTTTTTTTGTGGAATATTGGGTACATTTTACCTCTTTGGGCCTCCAGCAATTATTCAAATGAAACAATCTGAGAAGTTTAAAGAGAAAACAAATGACTCTGGCAGCTATAAGCAAACTGTGATGAGTGGTCGTACATAGACATGCTTCATTTTACACAAATCAAAATTGCAATTCTCCTCCCTTCATTCATATACAGCGATCTAAAAGCAGAGGCATCAACTGAAACCATGCGGAGAAACTCAAATTAAACACATTCATCACTCCGGTGAAGTAAGACATCGTATGCAGAGGAAGGCGAGAGGCTGAATGAAGGAGGAAGATGACGAGGTTCACGTAAACACGAAGGCCAGCGGTGCACTCGAGATCGAAAGTCGTTAGACAACTATTTCATTCATCAGCGATGAGCATTTCTGGGGCAATAACTCCCAAAAAGCCATACAGAAGCTCTCACGAGCAGTTTCAGCCGACCTGGGTTAAAAACACTGCATATATTATACTCACTATGTGGCGACTTGCTTTGTGGAGAGATGTATGAGACGTGTATGAATGTTGTGTTCAGCTCTGACGGTAAATAATACAAATCATACTCAATGCTGCCACCCAGTGGCAACAGGTCACTAAATCAATAAATAAATGAAGAAGAAGCTGCAGTGATGAAGTGCAATTTTCTCCTGGATCCCTTCACGGCCCTCCAGACAGGTCAGACCTACATCCATATCATGGTAAAAACACCTTAACCTCAAAATATCTTTCAGATCACAGCTGAGAAACAATCTACATCAATTAATATTATTACATCCACAAACTAAAATAATCTGAGTGCATAGTAACAAAAAAAAGTTGTTCAGCAGTGAAATCACATGCAGAAAGTGCTCAAATTCAGGGTTGGGCAATAAAATGTTAAATTGTCTTAAACTGTGCCACCTCAGACACTGCATAATTTTCTTTTTTTTTAAACTTCAGGTTATTTATATTAATTTTAGATTTGTGTAGAGGACGAAGGGAAAGACACACAAGCAAACTTCTTCTAAAGAAATTGCACCCAAAACCTGCACCCTAAATGTAAAGACACCCTAAACTCTGAGAAAACAAAACATTACAAATCATATTATTAAAAAACTATTGCAACAAAAGTCAAGCATTTCATCACCAAGTCGGTAAAAAGAAGAACATGATGTATTTCACTGAGTTCAACTTCTTTGTGAAGGAACTGATTAGGAAGAAACTGCATATTTGATCATTTTAAGCTGGAGTCCATCTTAAACCATTAAGATTAAGAGGACATCTGTATGAATGAGGGAGCTTCTGCACAATCCGTGGCTTGTTGTGACAACAATCTTTGCCCCAAGCCATCCAACCAACCAACCAACCAACCAACCTACTGGATTCACACACACTGATGAGGGAGTTGCTCAAATTCAAGCCACATATCTTGCATTTGATTAAATCTTCTCTTAAGAAGTGGCGACACACAAAAGCAGGAAGTAAGACGTAATGAAATAGGAGAGACATGGAGTCCCTTACTGCCTGATATCCCGTTTCCTTTTTTCAGCGTTAACTGACCTCCCTGGTGCCTTCAGTGAACTCAAGGAAAAGGCGATTCCCACACCGAAGAGTTTAAGACGTAGCGAGTGCGCCTCCGATCTCTCTACGATGGAAGCGTTGAGGTTGATCTGCTTAATGACTCGGAGCGGACCGGCACAGGTGAAACTCGGATGGTATAAAATCAGCGACTAGTTTAGGTGGAGGGTCTGCCTCATGAACTCATAGGTGGTGAAGGCAACGGCCTGGGACGGGATGCAGCGGATGAAGTTGAGAGAAAGGCCTCGGTACAATCCCTTCTTGATCCCGTACTTGTTATACACGTACTTCAGGGTCTTGCTCAATGATCTGTTGGGACAAAGAAATCAAACACTTTTTAGAATGACAGAAAAACAACAGAGAAATCTACTGTTTATGTTTTTTGTCGCGTGCGGTCATTTTATGTCTTGAGGTTTTTTTTTGTTTTTTTATGAGCTCACCAAAGCAAATTCCTGTTGTTGAGCTGATAAGTATTAAATCTTGCATATTGGTTTTAATTATTGACATTACCGGAATGATTAATCAAGTTGTTTGTTGTTGAGGCTTGCCTGTGCTCAACCTAAACCCTGGTGATGAAGAGCCGCCATATTAACACAAACAAACGAGGAGACAAAGGACCTTCTAGGGCACTGATGGATCTTAAATATCAAGGAAAAGCACATAATGCAAGAAAAATGAGCAGCGTTTGGACCGGCATTGTGTGAACTTGAACAGGTATGAACGGTATGTTGCTGTAGTTTTACAGCTCAGTTGCTATTATGCTCCTTGGAGCTTTGGGCTTTAACATTTTATCCAATGCAAACAGCCCACCGACCCTCTGGAATTCTCTCTCAAGCTGTAAGCACGCACTTCATCCTCAAAGTCTGCTTATAAAACCAAATGTGGAATCAACTGTTTTAAGGGAACGCCTCAATTAATGTCCAAAACACTTGAATTCAAACAGTGATTTTAAATAAAGAAACAGGGACCAAACACTGTTTATTAAGGAGCCCATATTACAGAGAGTGCAGGACAAGTCGCCTGAGGAAACTCCACCAATTAGACACTCAGGAACGACTTCTTTACTACCAATTAATCCTCTAGCTAGATGAGCACTTAACCTACTGCCTATGAAAAGTTCATCAGCACCGTGTTGTATGAGCAGCTTTCATCTCTATCATTCCCCTCAGTATCAGTAGACTCCGACAATTAGTTCTCCTTCATTTATCTTTTAAAGGTTCACGCATAAAATTATAGTTTCACTGCAAAACTCCCGAATCGAATCAGACCACATGAGAACACAATACGAAAGCAACCATTTGTTTCTTTGTTGTAGTTTTTTTTCACAGCAATATTCTTCAGTGATTTGTCTCACGACTATGTTATGAAGCGCACTGACCGGTACAATCTGCAGCAGCATATCATGGCACAACAGTTTATGGAGAGTGGGAACATTGGTGATACTTACACACATTTGTCAGAGTCAGGAAGCACGGTTCCTAACTGCATTCTTCTCCTCGCCACATCCAAGGGGTACCTAGTGAGAAAAGGCCCAATGTGACACGTCAAACATCAATTAATCAGTGTGATCAACAGCAAACTCAAGACGCTTTGTCAGCCCGAAGCTCGTTGGCTGCCTGCCGACAGCACTTACGATATTGCCTGAGCGATGGCACCGGCGACCCCTCCACAGAGCAGGTTAACGTGGGTTTTCAGAATGAGGACATCGGGGTTGTCCGAGGAGGGTCGTCCCACCAGCTCCGGGAAATGCTTCAAGCCGAGGCTCTTCAGGGTGCCAAAGGTGAAGAATGAGAAACCTGGGGGATGAAAGCAGGGACGGGAGATGAAGAGTCAAGCTAATGGGAGGACATCTTGTAGTTCTGCTCAACCATCTTGGATCATAACCAGAGGCTGGTATCAATATTTGAAAAATATTCTCAATAATCACCTGCATAAGGAGCCATCCCAATAAGTGTTGGAACAAGTCCCTTATAGAAGCCAGAGACGCCCCCCTCCTTGACAAAAAAAAGAAAAACAAGTGTAAGTGCATGAGGTATATACAGTATAAATTATGAACAATATCAACAAGAAAACTTAGATTTTCATGCATCTTTGATAAAAGGCTCCAATGTTTGTGAAGACTGTGTTGCTTGTTGGAGAACTTGAGCCCTGGCACACTACCTTGAGGTAGATGGTGTGGAAGGCATTGGCAATGCCAGTGTAGCGATGCTCTCCTGTCACCTGGAAGGCCAGTCTAGCCCGGATCACATCCAGAGGGTAGGTGCATATCACCGCAGTCATCCCTAAAAACACACATTTTTAAGAATATGGTTGTGCTTCAACAGGATTTACTGAGATTAAGCACTCACACAATGTAGCTGTATTTAATTTAATGTGACAGACTTTCCACTTTCTCTCTTAGTCTCTTTATACTGATGCAAACCAACTGTGGGCCTGACCACTTTAATATCTTTTTAAAAAGATCTATTAACGCACAATAACAAGGCGTGATGCTCACTTGCATTGTGGTGATGCAGTATTTGTCACATTATGAGAAAGTCTGTACTGAGGTGACAAATGTAACCAGTCTTTGATTCAAATAATGTCAATATTCAATAATAATAATAATAATAATAATAATAGGAAGAAAAAGTTAAAAGGCAGAAATTCAATGCCAGTACATGATATACAGCTGGCACAGACTGAAAAGGCAATTCTTCTCAGTGACGACGGTAAATTACCTGCCATAGATCCCGCCATGAGGCGGTGGATGTGTCCAGAGATCCCAACCCGTTTACTGAGAAGCTGCAAAGGAAGGAAACAAAGGTCACCAGTTTCACCAACAAAAACTATGCACAGACATCAGCTGTAGCAAAATGTCATTATAGCGCAAAACATTGCCATTTGAAAGTGTGATTCCAAACTAAAGTACGCACTGCACCTTTTTATACTTGTCAAAGGCCATGAACTGGATGGCTCCGTATGGAAATATCCTGACCATCATTGCCCCATTACCCTTGTACAAGCCAAGGAAGCCTTCTTTCTTTGGCACAGCTTTGAGAGTGGCAAACACCCCTGCAAAGAAAGAACGGGAGTTTCACTGATGTGGCACAGATGTGTGAAAACAAGCACTTATTGGCTTTTTCCATGCTTGGCTGCTGATGTTTCTACCTAGATGTTTGTAATGGGGGTTCTGGGCTTGAAGAAGAATCTTGATTCTGTCCAGAGGAGCAATGGTAGTCTTGGCACAGCATCCTGCAACACCTAATCAAAAACAGAGAAACACGGCGTCAACCCATTTATTATTAAATTCATTTAATAAATACATTTATTATTAATGGAAACGTTTCATGTTACCACAGCAGAATGGTTTGAAATAGGCCCATCGTTTATAGAGAGGTGAACAGTTTATTATAAGGGTAGCGTTGGTCGTCCTACAAGTGTTTTAAAGTAGCTAACAGTCAGATTAAAAAAAGGGAGCAAGTGTAACAGTCAACCCCTCAGATGTTCAAGTGCAATGTGTGTTTCAAAATAAAAGAGGAAGAACCACAAACAACGACACACAAACTTACTTAACTGCCATGTTATCACATGTCGGCTGTGCTGTTGTGCTAAAGGCAGCACGGCATGCTTCCAGTGTATTGGGATAAATAATGTGAATAATGATTCATTTTGGAAAGAAGTAATCATACTCTCCAATCAAATAGAAGTGCACATTTGTTGCTACGTTTACAATGATGTTGAGTATGTGAAGTCATGATGAAGTGACGCCTTGAAACTGTGTCCTCGTGTTCTACTAATCATCACAGACCTTAATCTGATGTCACATCCTACCTCCAGCTGCGAAGGAGCGAAGGAAGTGGTAGTCCCTGTTGACAGGTTTGCTGCTGCTGATGGCAGGAGATGTGGAGACCGCAGCCTCCGATGTCATCCTTCCTGCTCAGGAATCTGACACATCCATGGCTGTGCAATTTGGAGGGAAAATAATACTGTAAATGCACATGTGACTATCAGCGTGTATCAGCCCCCTGACACATATATTTACGGGAAAACCAGACTGTGAGTTTGGTGTATACGGTTGCTGATAGGTCATGCTTTGCAATGGGACACAAGAGCCAAGAGGCAGGTGGATTTAACCAGGAGACAAGTTGATACTCACAAGGTAATCACAACTGTCACAGGCACAAAGGTGGAGAGGGTATGTCCAAAACAATCGCAGCTTCTCTCGTGTCCCTAAACGTTGACGTTACTTCCTCGGTATAATCCTGGTTGTTACCGCACCGAGAAACTCGTCCTTCGCTGTTTCAGTTGAAAACCGGATAATCAACATGCCTTGAAGCCTTGATGCTGAGGCACTTTTAGGATTCACGTAACGCATTCGTACCCTTTGCCCGTTGCCGACTGACTACATCTGACCTAAAACAGTCGCGCTGTGATGACGCAGGATGAAGGAGACAGGGGGGAGGGGGATTTAACAGCGGAATATTATAATTTCAGTATTGGTTTACGATATCATATTATCGCCAAATTACGTCCCTGATAATTGTTATAATAACGTATAAAAGTCTCTCTGCGTGTTCTAGGTAATCCCCTCTGTGGTATAGTGTTGCCCTCAGGCTATAAACTACCTTTATGGACCTCACAACTGCCTTTTAATTGTTTTTAACTTGACAAAAGCAAATACCATCAGCAGACATTTCTGCGTCCAATGAACTGAGGGGCTGACGTTTGTGTGACCTTTTGTTTGGAAGTGAAGCAATCTTTCCAAGAAACAAAGCTGCCTTGTTTTTAAGCTTTTTAACATGTTTAAATTAAAATATCTTTATAATATATGCATGCACATTAGTATGTAAAGAAGTATGTTTTTTTTTGTCTAAACACATCTTTTGTCTTTATTTATATACTAAAATTGTGTTTTTTTTTGTTTCTTTGCCTCAGGGCAACATTGTGCAGTTAGAACACTTATGTTCAGTATATCCTGTTATAGTGTGGAGATGATAATCACGACCATAGTCATTGTTTTTAGTTTACTGATAATTACAGAAATGGACACGGGAACATATTATGGGAGCAAGGAACAGGATCAGGCAGTTAGGGTAATTTGAGACAGCCAGGTCAAGGGTCAGTCAGCAGAGTAACGTGTGTGTGTGTGTGTGTGTGGGTGTGGTGTGAGTGTGTGTTATAATTTATAACCAGGCTTGGCATAGTTGACGGGTAAGGGACTGGACATTCTTTTACCCCTTTACCCTCATTAAAATGTGTGCTTCCTGCTTTCTTATAGGAGAATGCTCATCTAGTTGAATGACACTGAGTCTGTGGAGGAGGTTCCACGCCTATCCTGGTGGAGAACACCCCACAATGCTTTCTACAATGCTTACCCAGAACGTCAGTGTCTTTCCAGATGTGACACACACACACACACACACGTTACTCTGCTGACTGACCCCTGACCTCCTAATTGTCATAAAAATGACATGAACCTCCTGATCCTGTAAGTTACGCTAATAACGTGTTCCTGTGTCCATTTCTGTAATTATTAGTAGATGGTAAAGTAAAAACAATGACTATGGTCATAATTATTAAACACACTGACACACACACACACACACACACACACACACTGTCCTCTGGATGTTGGTTTACATGTTGATGTTAACATTAAAACTTTTTCTAAATGCATAATGGTTGTTTTCCTTATTCCTCTTATACAATCTTGGTGTTTCAGTATCCTTCCTTGTGGCACATTGTTGAGGCAACAAACCAACATCTGGCCAGGTGTGTACACATTCTATGATTTATTTATTATCAGGGACCCCAAAGCTCGCCATAAATGTAGAGAAATATTGTTTTACCCCTCCCCAAAATAAAAAGTAATGCCATAGAGGGTTAAACACTTTATTTAGAAAAGCTAGCTGTCATTAATATAATGTTACAATAAAGTATTAACTATCAACCGCTGTGGTGATCCGTTACCATCGGTTTTAGCACACCCCTGCGTCCGTTTGCTGAACCACACAGAGCGGGGAGCTCTCTGACAAACCGCCGCTTGGTTTGTAACGTTGCTCCATCCCAGGTTTTCTCCTCCACTCTTCCCTCCAGTGCCGACGACGCGTTTTTTTTGGCCCGAGGAGCCCGTAGGTTACGTGTGGTGGAGGGAGAGTGAGCGGGGCTGCCCTTGATGCACTCACATTAGAGGGATTTAACGTTTTAACGGGTGTCGTGCTCCGCAAAGAATACACTGCGCACGTTGAGAAACGACTAATCCCGCTCGATGCATGTTCGGGTCGGTGCTTTTATCATGAGTCCATGTGTCATCGTCGACAGAGGATTGAACTTGCCAGCAGTCTATATTTGCCGAGGAGGGAAACCAATACAAGGTCTCGCTGTCTCGCTGGAGCGGAGTATTATTAGCAGTTCAGACAGTGCAACTGTCGCTTTGTGGTATGTAAAGCATTTCAGCCGTAAACGAGTAAATAAAAACCTCACGGGCAAGTAAACAACCCGTATCTACACGGCGCGTTTCATGACAGCGGTCAAGTGTAAAATAATAACAATAAACAGCGACGCTGAGGGCGTTTTTACACGGTAATAAAACCCTCTTCCGCCAGTCAGCGAGACGAAAACAGGATCCGACCTCCAGCCTGAGCCCACTCCTCAACGCGACTGCCCTTTAAACTGTTTCAGCCATGTTAGTCCATTCCTGAAGCTACTATTTTTTTTTTTTTTTGGATATTTCTTCTGATTTTATATATTTATTCAAAATATGGTATTGTGTATAAGTGCATTGGATTTTCGTTATTGACGTCAGCCTTAACAGCACTTGCTCATCCAAGTAGATATTTCAGGCGGGGCAAAAGTGTAATTTCCAGCAGACAAAGTAAAGAACAATTGCATAGATTTAGCTTATTATATAGTACTTGATGTCTTTGAGATAGTTTATTTTGTGCTCAGTCTGTCTTTACAACACTGAAAATACATGTAAAGACTATTTGTGTTTTGATTTTCCTTCTATTTACTCTCTTTATAGGTCATGCACTGCAAATACACAATAATGACAGTATCGTAATTTCTCGTTCAAGAAAAAAAACCACAGAAGAGGAACATTTTTAACAAATAATTGCCCGCAGCGAAAGATAAAAATTCACCTGGCTCCCATGCTGGCTGCAAGGAATCCTCCCCTCCACTCCCTCAGCCATGCCTGCTACTACCAAACGCACCCGGAGACGGACACCTGCTCAGAGAAAAAATGTCCAGAAGGTGATTAGCACCAAGAGGCAAACCTGTAACTCAAACAAGCCCAGGGGAAGAGCCACAGAGAGGCCCCAAAAAACACCTGCAGAACCCAAAAAGTCAACGGCCAGGGCCCAGGCACTGTCAGGCCGAAGCCCCCGTGGAAGAGGGGTGAGTGGGCCTGCTAGTCAGGGCCCCGGGAGGTCCGCTGGCAGAGTTAACCATACTGTAAATGTAACAGGATCTGCAAGGCTTAGACGGCCGCCTGACCACTGTGGCGAGTTACAAGACCCCCTGGGGCGAAGGAAGTCCCTGCGTGGTGCACAGGTGCCTGTTACTCCCTGCGAGCCTCTTAAACCTCGCAGAGGGGGGAGAAACAACAGGGGGGTGGCGGGGAGACGAGCAACATCACAACAAGGAAACACAAGAAACAAGCCCTCAAGCACCAGCATCAACGATTCAACTCTCGATGAGGAAAATGATAATCTGGACACCTGTGATGCAGAAGAAATACTCCCAGTCGCTCTAAAAACAGATTTTGAACTTCCTTCAAGAATCAAAGATCAGGGTTTAGGAGTCAATAATGCTAAAGAGGGAAGCCCTCTTAAAGCAGATTCGCCACCGCCTAACGACGTACTGGAGTGCAGCTGTGACAGTGCTGTGACCCAGCAGGAGAAAGACACTGTCAGTCATAACAGTGAAGGTGATCTGAGGTGTGTGGTTGGGGTGTGTGACGATGTTGATGGACAGCTCAAGCTCCGCAGTGACCGAAGTAAAGATAGTCCCTCGCCAGGGGGGCAGGGCGGCTGTGAGGGAAACGACACTTCATCTGTCCTTAGAAATAAGCCTGATCATCTTGCCAGTGATGGTAAGCAAGATGATGTGTGTGCTGTCCACCAAGAGGAAGATAACACGTTGGACCTAAAAGAAAACAGGAAGGATAAAAGACTGATAATTGTCACTGAGAGAAAAGAAAAGAGAAATCATGAGAGAGAAGAGAGTTTAGAGGAAGAGAAACCAGTTGAGGGACAAAAGGAGGCCGTGGAAGAGATGGAGGAGATTGCTGAGAAGCTAGGTAGTTGTAAGAGAGGGGGAAACAGAAAGGAGACTGATGTGTCCATCAATCCTGCTGACTCCCGACCCAGCGCTCCAGCCTCTCAACCTCCAGACCCACCTCACTCTAACGATGGACTAACACCACAGTCAGAATCACCTGTACGTGGGCTATTTGTCTCCAACGCAGCTACCTCAAATCCCACCAAAGCCCCCTCCACCTCAGAGGCAGTTGAGCCAGAGTTTCTGAGCCAGGGTAAGACAGACATGCAACCAACCCTTCATGGTGCTAAACCTCAATTCACAGGGTCCTCAGTTGTCGCTGAAACCGCCCTGATGGTGCAGACCGTTCTCGTAAAAAGACATACGCCGGTTATTATCCGTAGTGACTCCTTCAAACCCAGGTGCTTGAAGGATTCAAGCCATGGGGAACCACACCACCTGCAAAGCCTAACGACCCATTCTCCTCCGGGAGAGAAACAAGCTTGCACACCAGCAGAGACGCAGACCAAAGATAGTGAATCTAATCGGGAGCCATTGGAGCGCCACAGCCAGAAGGACACTCCTTCGCTGTCATTGTCACTCGTTCCTCAGTCGAGCACAGATGCCCTGACAGCTGAGTGTCAACCAAACCTCAGCAAGGACAGCATTGCGGTCGCCGAGCCGGACCCAGTGCCAAAGATCTCGACTCCTTCTCTGGACAGCAGCTTCACCTTCTCCTGCAGCTCAGAAAGCACTCGATCCTCTTTTTCTTTCGACACTGAATCGGAGACAGGGTATGGGGAGTCCAGTCCCTCTACTCTACCGGGATCCTTTGGGCCAGAAGGGGCCTGCTTGCCCTCCTGGACCACTCTCAAACCACAGAATAAGGAGAAGAAGAAGAGGAGCAGGTGTGGAACATGTGAGCCGTGCCAGAGGAAGATCAGCTGCGGCCAGTGCAGTTGCTGCCTCAACCGCAGCACTGGCCACCAGATCTGTAAGATGAGAAAGTGCGTGGACCTGAGGAGGAGACGACCTTCATCTCTGCTCACTCTCTCTGCTGCACAGGTGAGATTTATGTTACGCCGTACAAGTGCATTTAATTATATTTAAACACATTTTAGTTGGTTTCATTGCAGTCAGGTCTTCAGCTCATTCTCACAA